CCCCAAAACCCCAAAACCCCAAAACCCCAAAACCCCAAAACCCCAAAACCCCAATAAAAATTATAATAAATCCACTCTCTCCACAAATATGCAGTACAACCAAGACATTGACAATGTCATGAACGTCAAGAAGTTCAGCAAACTTGACAAGTTCCAACCGAAGATTAAAATTCCAGTGAAGTTTTTATACAAGATGCCGTTCTTAGATGGTGATAAAGAAGAGAGAAGGACTGTGCTTGAGAAGCCAAGTATGTTTGTTTTATAATTCTTTGAATTATTCATATTTTGGCATGGCTTTATTCTTATCTATAGTATTTGAGAACTCAGTTCTTTCTAAGAGTGTTCCTGAACTTAAAAAGAAAGAAGATGATCAGAAGAAAAGGACATTCATTTTACCTAAAATTGGGAATAAAAACTTTATTCCAAACTCTGAGTTTCAACACCTTGAGGATAAAAAGATGAAAAGACTGGCTAAGATTAGAGATTTTCATTCTCGAAAGAAAGATCCACAGAGGAAGTCTCAACTTCTTGGGTCTCATACTGAGAGATCGGAGGTAAATCTACCATAACAGTTCTAGGTCAACTTAGATCATAGCCTTGAAAGCATTGATAGTGATAACTTCGGGATCAGATCTCTTATCGCAAATGATCAAAAGAAAAAGAAACATTTCTTATCAGTAGACTCCTTAGCTAAAAGAGTGCGTGAAAATAATAAGGTATTCTTCATTCCTCACCATAGAAATACATTTCAAGAAACAAAGACATCCTGGGGTTACCTAAAATCTCTAAAAGCAAGCTATCCATCTAAATCTATAGATTTCTTAACTCAAAAGACTGACCAGGCCTCAAAGAAGAAGAAGAAGGTCAAAAAAAAGACTAAGAAAGTGATTCAGCCCCAAAATGACGGCTTCAGCTTTGTCAACCAACATTTTGACCCAAATGTATTAAGATCTATCAAAAAGTTACACAAGGGTTATAAGAAATTCATCAAAATCGAGGAAGAAATCAAGGATTACTTCTATTACAAAGAGTATAATCCCTCTAATCCATGTAGGCCTGTCCAGAAGACCAAGAGCCCCGACCCTCAGAGGACCAATTTCTTCTCTAAAGAGAGGTATTTCTAGCCTGATTTCCCACTATTCCTGCTATTTTGGTCTCAACCTACTGAAATTTTATGGGGTTTTGGGGTTTTGGGGTTTTGGGGTTTTGGGG